TCCTCGACGTTCAGGGAAGTAAGTTCCTTGGATTCATGATCACTAACAGGGGGATCGAGGCCAACCCGGAGAAGTGCAAAGCCAGCATCCAGATGCAGAGCCCTCAAAATGTGAAGGAAGTCCAATGCTTGGCGAAAAGGTTGGTTTCCCTGTCCCGTTTTATCCCCAGGCTGACGGAGAAAGCGGGGCCCATCTTCACCCTGTTGCGCAAGCTGAAAAATTTCAAATGGACGGACCGGTGCGAAGAGGCTTTCAAAAGCTTCAAAGCATTCCTCACGACTCCGCCAATTCTCCAGAGGCCGGATCATCAAGCCGACCTCCTCCTCTACCTGGCCGTGACAGAAGGCGCGATCAGCGCAGTTATAGTTCAAGAGAACCAGAAAGTGCAGACACCAGTCTATTTCATCAGTTGAGTCCTCCAGGACACCGAGAAACGATATCAGACGATTGAAAAGCTTGCACTGGCACTCGTCACCGCAGCTCGGCGTCTCCGACCTTACTTTCAGAGTCACCAGGTTATAGTCAAGACCGACTACCCAATCAAGCAAATCCTAAGAAAGCCAGAGCTCGTCGGGCAGATGATAGCGTGGTCGGTCGAATTGTCTGAGTTCGGCATCTAGTATGAAAGCCACGGCGCTTTGAAAGCTCAATGCTTAGCTAACTTCGTGGCCAAACTGACGCCAACCTCGGTCGAGGAGCCACAAGTATGGACTTTGTATGTTGATGGGTCCTCCAACTCTGAAGGTGGTGGGGCAGGTATCATCCTGGAAGGGCCGAACCAAGACACCTTGGAACAATCTCTCAAGTTCGGTTTCAAAGTGACGAACAACCAAGCAGAGTACGAAGCACTTCTCGCAGGGCTAAGGTTAGCCCACGAGTACGAAGCGACTCAAAACTCATCGTAGAGCAGCTCATCGGGACATACTAGGCCAAGGATGTTCTTCTACAGCGGTATTTCCACATGGCATCACATCAGATCTCGACCTTCGATGAGTTCACTATACAACATGTACCACGAGAGCAAAATACCAGAGCCGACCTCCTATCAAAGCTCACCAGCACCAAACGCCCTGGACAACATCGGACCATTATCCAAGAAACCTTGTATTCACCCAGCTTGGACAACAAGGTTGTCAACACCAGCGACAATGAAGAACAAGGGTGGATGACAGGTATTTGGAACTACTTGAAGGCAGGAATTTTACCTAAGGATAAAGATGAAGCTCGAAAGATGAGGGGAAGGTCGGCTAAGTTCGTAATTATCAGAGACGAACTGTTCAAGCGTGGAATCTCCATCCCTTTGCTCAAATGCTTGAATGCACCTCAAGCCGCTTATGTCATCGAGGAGATCCACTGAGGTATATGTGAAATGCATTCCGGAGCGCGCTCGATGGCAGCTAGGGTACTCTGGGCTGGGTACTACTGCCCACCTTGAAGTCAGATAGCTAAGTCTACGTGCAAAAATGCAAAGAGTGCCAGCAGTTCGGCAACGCGCATCGACAACCACCCGAAGCTCTCCACCAAATGATGTCCCTGTGGCCTTTCGCCCAGTGGGGAATGGACATCCTAGGACCGTTCCCCCCTGCGAAAGGTCATCTCAAATTCCTCTTGGTGGCAATCGACTACTTCACCAAGTGGATCGAAGCGTGCCCACTCGCTAAGATCACCACTGAGAATATACGGAAGTTCACCTGGAAGAGCATCATATACAGGTTTGGAATTCCGCATTCCCTTTTCACTGATAATGGCCGACAATTCATTGCGCAAAGCTTCAAAGACTTCCTTCGGGAACTTGGAATTAAGCACCTCCCGACCTCGGTGGAACATCCGCAAACTAATGGCCAAGTCGAAGCTGCAAACAAAGTGGTACTCCGAGAGCTTAAGAAGCGGCTAGGGAACGCCAAGGGACAATGGGCTGACGAACTCTCCAGCATTCTCTGGGCGTACCATTGCACCCCCCAGTCAACAACGCAGGAAACGCCTTACAGGCTGACTTATGGAACTGACGCCATGATCCCAGTGGAAGTCAGGGAGGCATCTCACCGACGTCAGGTCTTCAACAGCGAGCAAAATGCTCAAGAAATAGCAGCTGACCTTGACTTGATTGACGAGCTCAGAGACGAAGCTTAGAGACGAAGCTCAGATTCATGAAGAAGCTTGCAAACTCTGAGCTTCCAGAAGATACAATACGCGAGTACGACCTCGCTCTTTCCGAGTTGGTGACCTGATATGGCGACTATTAGGCAAAGCATTGAGAGACACATCAGACGGCAAGCTCGCACCCACCTGACTCACCGATATGTTGTAGGCTAAAGTTCTTCATGTTAGGTATGGGCGCATTGAGTCCTTTTCTAATTGCTCAAATGTGGATAGGAGGCCTTCTTAGTGGTGGAAGGATATAGTGTGTGTGCTACAACAAATTTTTTTTATTCCTTACCTTATACTTATATCAATGTGCATGTTAATCCTAGGACAACTAAATATGTATTCTTTCTTTCTGTTGTGTTGAGACTAAATTGTAGTAAGTGTAAGATATGTCGGGTTGTTATATATATTGTCAATAATTTTATATTAAAGGTAAATTTTATTGATCCAATCATTGAATAATTTTATATTAACTTTAATGTTTACATCAAATTTTGTTAAAATCGAACTAAAAATAAAAAGGAAATCAAATTATTCATAGTTTAATATATTTTCAAAGGGGAAGGATTTAGTCATTTTAATAACCTATGTTTTACATCAAATTTTAATAATTTAACCGTTGAATTAAAAGTTCTTAATGTACTAGATCAAATCTATAAATTTTTAAAAAAATTAAAAATTATTTTATATAACATTTCATTAATTCAAATTTCAAATAATCATAAAAGCATTTAATACGTTAATTTGAATTTTTACAATGAAGTATCATATGATTTTCAATTTCCTTAAAAATCTATAGACTTGATTTATATATTAAGAACTTTTAATTTAACTATTGGATCGTTAAAATTTGATGTAAAACATGAATTATTGAGTGAAATAAATTTATCAAGACTTATTTTTTGAGTAAATAGATCCCCTCGTTTTTAAAAGTATATTTTTTTTCTTGATAAGAAAAAGAGATTTAAATTAAAGGGAGTACAAGGAGTACTCCAACCCTTTACAAGAAACACAAAGACAAAATCAGAAATCAAAATCCAAAGCAGAAACTATAAAAGAAACACAAACCCGGGTTATAACACTAGTTAATATAACTAAAAGAACAACTAGGCACAGAACTAGAGTAATCCACTTCCATGAACGCAGTTTAATACTGCCCAACACTTCCTTGCAATCAGTAACACCTTACTGAAAGATAATAACATTCCGATGAAGCCACAATGACCAGATAACACAAACTCAAACCACCAGAAAACATTGAGAACATTTTTTATATATACCAAGATTCGTCCAATACAAATAAAGAGAAATCAAAGAATTAGGAAGGACCACTGCAAACTCCAACCAATTAGCAACAACTAACCAAGTATTAAAAGTCATAAGGCACAACCAAAAAAGATGGAGAGGGTCTTCAACAAACAGAGAGCAAAAAGAATATAAATTGTTATCCAACTCCACACCACGTGCTTGTAACAAAGATTTTCACAGAAACGCATTCAAGAACACTTGCCAACAAAACACCAAGCACTTGATCAGAGCCTTACATTTCCAAAGACTTTTTATAACTAGCTAAAAATTTGGAGAATTTCCAAGTTCACCACCCATTACGCGTTGTAGCCAAAGGTATGCACTTTTCACTGAAAATCTACCATCCTTGCCACAAATCCATCTCTAGTAATCTTGCCTATAAGAGAAAATCTGCAAGCCCTGAAACATATCCAACAAAGTATTCACACTACTAACTTCATGGACAAAAGGTTTTCTTCTCCAAGTTCCATTATGTGCCACCACTAACAATCGATTAGAGGTAAAGGAGTACAAACGAGGAAAGACATCCAACAAGCACAAACCACCTACCCACGTATCCTCCCAAAACCAGGTCATAGTGTCATCTCTAATACAACGTTCAATCTTTTCATCCAACCAAAAATTTCCTTATTATAGAACACACACACTAAATCCTTCCACCACCAAGAAGCCCTTCTATCCATATTTGAGCAATTAGAAAAAGTCTCAATGTGCCTATACCTAACATGAAGAACTTTAGCTCACAACATACACGGAGAGAGCATGCACCTCCACACCCACTTCCCAAGTAGTGCCTAATTGAACAACCTAACATCCTTGATTCCTAGTCCACCCTCAACCTTTGACTTACACACCATTTCCCATTTTACCTAAGAAATCCTTGAGCTGTCCTTGACATCTCTCCACAAAAAATCACGTACCGAGGTCGAGTTCGAACCTTGGTACGATTCATTTTACTTCAAACCGAGGTTGAGTTCGAACCTTGGCTCGATATATTTTACTTTACACCGAGGTCGAGTTAAAACCTTGGTACGATTTATTTCACTCTAAGCCGAGGTCGAGTTCGAACCTTAGTAAAAGTTACTTCACACCGAGGTCGAGTTCGAACCTTGGTACGATTTATCTCACTCTAAGTCGAGGTCGAGTTCCAACCTTAGTAAGAGTTACTTTACGCTAAACCGAGGTCGAGTTCGAACCTTGGTACGATTTGTTTCACTTTAACCCGAGATCAAGTACGAACCTCAACAAACATTATTTTTATCTTACACAGAGGTCGAGTTTGAATCTCGATCTGAATCGCTCTATCTCGCCAAGGGTCGAGTTCGAACCTCAATACGAATTATTTACATCAGGCCAAGTTTGAGCCCCAGAAAAGTACAAAAAACACAAGTGCATAAGCAGACAGTCAAATAGAACCACCAAAAGCGCGAGGATAAAATCTCGAAAGAAAAAATATTATATACACAACAATGTTTGCAGAGTTCAACACCTGAATACAAAGAAAAAATCAAGCAGAACAAAATAAACTAAGCTATTACAAAACTGGCCTAGGCAGAGGCATTTTCGCTCGAGCTGTCCTGGAGGTCGTCCTCTTTCACCAGCTTCCCGAAGCGCACCTCTTTCTCCACATGCATGGCAGAGAGGTCGACCCCCGGTGCAAGTAGCCTCGCCTGGCGAGATGCCTTGAGGAATCCCCTCTTGTGCTCGAACAGGACAGCTCGCTCAGTTCCCTCGAGCTTCTTCTTCAGCTCTTCCTTCTCTGCAACCATCTTTGAGAGGTCCACCCTGAGTGCGGCGACCTCCTCTTCTTTCCCACCGAGAAGCACCTTGTCACAAAGACGCTTCTCAGCTGCCACCACGAGATCAACCTTCAGGGAAGTTACCTCGTCTTCTAAGGCACGCAACCGACCTCGGGAAGAATTGGCGAGCTCTTGCAGCTCACTCACTTGGGCAGCGTGAGTCTCATTGGACCTCAGAGCAATCTCTAAGGACTTCTGAACTCTCTCCAGCTCCCTCCTGGTGGCTTGAAGCTCGGCCTCATTCTGCAGCTTAGCATCCCCGAGAGCGCCCGCCAAGGCCCGGTTCTCCTCCTTCAAGGCCTTGTTCTCTTCCCTCAAAGGCTGGACTCGGCCCTTCAGCTTCGCCAGGTCCTCCTGCTACTTGGACCACTTATGCTTCTAGTGGTCCACGATGGCCATGGTCCTCTTCAGGAAGACCTCAGCAGAATCAAGGCCTTCCACTGGCCTGGCCGTCTCGATCATGGCTTGATCAGCCGTACTCAACGACTCCTTGGAGAAGAACTTCTCCGAGGTCACCTCCGCGCTCCACAGAGAATCTATGTCCTCCGAAGCGCTCACATGATCCAGTTGCACCTGAGAACGATCCTTCCCAAAGCAATGGGCGAGGTATTGGCTTCTGGGGGGCCCCTTCGACGAGCTAGACGGTGGCGCCGAGGTCGCGGGAGTAGGTGTCGGGACCTCGGATCTCGACCCCTTTCCGCGGGCATCGACAGAAGCAGAGGCAGGCGCCTCCTGCTCAACCACGGCGGCACCTGCCCCTGGTACCTCCGAACTCAGAGCCACCTGGACCCCGACAACATTCCCTGGTTGCAAAAGACAAAACTTTCTTCCTAAGAAAAAAGTCAAGAAAAAGGGAGCATAGAAGAAAACCCAAAAAGCAAGGCACCCACCTCGGTGGCCTGGGCAACCTGCTCGGAGGCCGCTTGGGGAGCTCCCTCGGGCGGAGAACTCCCAGTAGGGTCGACCGCATCGGCGTCAGCAGCCTTGGAGGTCACCTCCTCAGCATCTCGAGGGGTAGAGGTCCCCCCGACCTCTTTCTCTCCCCTCTTTCTTTTTCTTCGGGTCTCTAAGGGGGCCACATCCTCCTCCTGAGGTTCGGGAACCTCAATTTTGGCGACGTTGTAACGCGACTTCAGCTCGCGCCACTTGCTTTTGCCCATTATGCCTACAAGTACAAGAATGAGACGCGTCAGTAAAAGAAAACATTTGCGAACCCTAGCAACTAAAAAGGACAAGATACTCACTCTCTAGACCCCTCTCCTTGTACGCCGAGTTAGCAAGCCACAGGACGAGCTTGCAATCCAACGGACGAGGGAAACCGAGCCGCCCCATGAAACCGAGCCGGGGCCGGCCGACAATAAAAGGGAAACTTCGGCAGCCCGTCGAAGTGGAACACCTCATCTTTTAACGGGTCGACACCCTGGAGCGCGACCCGGAAGAACTTTTGTTTGAATTTTTTGTAAGACTGGGAGTACAGAGAAAACAACCCCCCAAACTTACTACCACTCAGAGACGCCCAACCATAAGAAGGGACGCCCAGTTTCAAATGATAAAAATGGAGAAAAACAAGAAGAGATAACCCTATCCCTAGGGCCGAACACAAGACTTGAAAAGCCCTAAAAAAACCCTAGCTATTGGGGTGCAACTGGCAAGGAGCCGAGTTGACGAAATTCAAAGGGAAGACAAACACCTAAATCCCTAAAGAGACACTGGTACACATAAAAATGGGGAGGGTCAGAAGAACTCCCCATGTACACGCGCTCACCGGCCTAGCAGGGCTCAAGCCGGATAAGTTTGGAGATGGAAGGGTCACAGATTCTATGCAATTTTCGAATCACATTGATCTCCATGAAGGACCTAAAAACGCTTTGGAACTCCCCAACATCACTCTTGACCCACTCATAGACAGGGATACTGGAAGCAGGTTCCTTAGGCTGGCTCTCCCCCTTTCTCTTTTCAGCGACAGCCGCCCCGGCAGCCACTGCCTTGCCGCGCGTCTTGCCCTTGCCCTTGGCTGGCGCGGTGGGAGCGGCCCCATCGTTGCCAACCATCAAGAAAATCAAAAGATTTGAGAAGAAGGAGAAGGTAGGGAAATCGAAGTACCTGGTACTCCTTTGACAAATGAAAGAACAATAAGGAAGAAGAAGAACTCAGTTGCCGGAAATGGTGACGGAGAGGAACGAAACCAAGAAAGGCGAAGACGGGGAGCGGAGCAGAGAAACGAAGAAGCGTCAAGAACAAGACAAAGAAAAAGAGTAAAGTAAAAGGGGAAGAGGCGCGAGAGAGAGAAAAGAAACCTCCAAAATTCAAAACAACCACGACACATGTCAGCCAGGGAACACAACTGACGACACATTTAATGAGCCCCATTATGACAAGCACAAGTCATCATTACGTAACCGTCACTTCCCATTAACGCGTCGCCCACGCGTTATGGGAACAAGGCAACAGTTATGACACATGGCATCTTAACAGACAAGCGTACGCGAAGGGCCACGACCCCTTGAGGATCTCGGTCTTAACTCCTCGACCCACGGTCTTCGGAGCTCGGGGGGCTAGTGTACTATCCGTACCGCTATGCCGAGCTCGAGCTCGGCATCTCAACGCAGCGTGACCTCGGACACGCGCTAAGCCACGTCAGCCTGGCGTCCAAATAGGTTATAAACTAATCTCGGGCCCAAGGCCCAACGAAACCCTAATTTACACAAAGGTACGTGCATTACTTATACGAGACTTATACACCCACAAACACTAACTTGAGCACTGGAGTCTCTTTTGCAGGTACCACCCCCATTTTGGAGCATCAAACGTACCAGTGAAGGAGGCTCGTCGATCTTACCCAGCAGATCGTCCCCTACGACCGATCTCCGGTAAGAACAAAAAGTGTTTTTAAATTTTGTGTATAAATAACATTATTCTTACATTAGCATTGCGCCCTATCCTCTAGGTAAGACTAAAATGCTTTCTAGAACGATGCTGTGTTGGTGTGTAAAGATGCTCTTGGTTCTAAGGTTGCAGATTACCATACTAGTCATGAAACAGGGGGATCTGTTATGACTGGTGTACATCGGAAGAAGGTTGAAATGAAATTTGGATTTCTGTAATTGTAAGGTAGGTTGAAGGTTAAAGGGAGTAACTATAGTAACTTTAATTTAAAAATGTGGTGTTTTATTTATTTGGCTAAAAGCCTATTTTGGTCCCTTATAATAATTGTTTGTTTCAATTTAGTCCCACTTTTATTTTCGGTTTCAATTTGGTCCCAAACTAATTAATTGATTTTAATTAGATCCCTAATAAATTAATTGGTTTCAATGTGGGACTTCCGTCCAAATTTCTTTAACAGTGTTAACTGTTGGCCACGTGGATGCCACATAGATGCATAGGTAGATGCCACGTGGATGCCATTTTTTTGAAAATACCTGGAGCCAGAACAGCCCGTTCTGAAACCAGAACGGGCCGTTCTGGATGCACTCTTGGTGTGTTAATTTTGCATCTGAAACGGGTCGTTCCAGATGCAAAATTAACACACCACCAGTACAGCAGAACGAGCCGTTATGGATTCAGAACGGCCCGTTC